CCTAACCCTAACCTAACCCTAACCCTAACCCTAACCCTAACCCTAACCCTAACCTAACCCTAACCCTAACCCTAACCCTAACCCTAACCCTAACCCTAACCCTAACCCTAACCCTAACCCTAACCCTAACCCTAACCCTAACCCTAACCCTAACCCTAACCCTAACCCGAAGTTTACCTAGGTTCACCAAAGTTCAAACCTAGTGACCAAACTTTGATGGCCCATATCTCAGCCACCACGGAACAGGGTACCGTGAGACTTTGCAAAAACATAGTCCTAGGGTATCCCTACATATCTCATTAGTACAGATTTCATGTTTCCAAGGGTCTCACTGGGAACACCCTTGTAACCCTAACCCTAACCCTAACCCCTCCTCTCAATTGCCCTTCTCTCTCTCGCTCTGCTCTCTCCTGCGCTCCTGTCGATTGCGCTCCTCTCCCTTGCTCTGCTTTCGATTGCACTGCTCTGAGTTGTGCTTCTGCAACAGAGTGTGCACTGTCAAGCAGTGCGCTCCTCTTAATTACGCTGTCCAGCAGTGCGCTGCTAGCTGTGAGGCACGAGGAAAATATCAGTCACGTGTGATAGATGTTAGATCAAAAAGGGGTTACATAACACAGGTCACATGCCAAAAAGGTTAGATCGAAACAATAATTTCAAAGTATCAGTAATGTGCGCAAAATACTAGATTGAAACAAAGAACACATATTTAACAAAAGGTACGAAAATATGAGGTCGAAATAGAGGTCACAAAATGTTAGACACGTCTCAAGAATGTTAGATTGAATCTGATGTCAAAAATAAATGTCGGTCAACGTGCTCCAAATGTTAGATCGGGTTTGAAATGATGGTAAGTCTTGTGCTCCTTCGACTTGTGCTCCTCCAGCAGAGTGAGCGCTGTCCAGCAGTGCACTCCTCTTGATTGTGCTGCTCCAGCAAAGTGTGCACTGCTCTCGATCGAGCTCCTGTTGAATGCACTCCTGTCGATTGCGCTCCTCTCAATTGCGCTCCTGTCTCTTGCTCTGCTCTCGATTGCGCTCCTGTCGTTTGCGCTCCTCTGCATTGAGCTCCTGGCGATTGCACTCCTGTCGATCGTGCTCCTGTCGAATGCGCTGCTCTCTCCTGCTCTGCTCTAGATTGCGCTCCTGTCTCTTGCTCTGCTCTCGATTGCGCTCCTGTCGTTTGCGCTCCTCTGCATTGAGCTCCTGTTGATTGCGCTCCTGTCGATTGCGTTCCTGTCAATTGCACTCCTGTCAATTGCGCTCCTCTTTGCTGCTCTTCACTCGATTGCGCTCCTGTCAATTGCGCTCCTCTCCAATGAGCTCCTGTTGATAAAGCTCCTGTCGATAAAGTTCCTGTCGATTGTGCTCCTCTCTCTTGCGTTCCTCTCTCTTGCTCTGCGGTCGATTGCGCTCCTCTCGAGTGAGCTCCTCTCTCTTGCTCGGCTCTCGATTGAGCTCCTCTCGATTTCACTCCTCTTAATGGCACTCCTCCTGATTGTGCTCCTGTCGATTGAGATCCTGTCGATAGACCTCCTCTCTCCTGCTCTGCTCTCGATTGCGTTCCTGTAGATTGCCCTCCTTTCGATTGTGCTCCTGTCGATTCCGCTCCTGTCGATAGACCTCCTCTCTCCTGCTCTGCTCTCGATTGCGTTCCTGTAGATTGCGCTCCTGTCGATTGCGCTCCTGTCGATTGTGCTCCTGTCAATTGTGCTCCTGTCGATTGCACTCCTTTCGATTGCGCTCCTGTCGATAGAGCTCCTGCCGATTGCTCTTCTCTTGATTGAGCTTCTGTCGATTGTGCTGCTCTTGATTGAACTCCTGTCGATCGAGCTCTTGTCGATTGCGCTGCTGCAGCAGAGTGAGTACTCCTGTCGATTGCGCTCCTCTCTTCTGCTGGTCTCTCTCTTGCGCTACTGTCGATTGTGCTCCTCTCTCCTGCTCTGCTCGTGATTGCGCTCCTCTCGATTGCGCTGCTGCAGCAGAGTGAGCGCTCCTCTTGATTGCGCTCCTCTCTGCTGCTCTGCTCCCGATTGCGCTCCTCTCGGTTGCTCTCCTCTCGATTGCACTCCTCTCAATTGCGCTCCTCTCTCTCGCTCTGCTCTCTCTTGCGCTACTGTCGATTGTGCTCCTCTCTCCTGCTCTGCTCGTGATTGCGCTCCTCTCGATTGCGCTGCTGCAGCAGAGTGAGCGCTCCTCTTGATTTCGTTCCTCTCTGCTGCTCTGCTCCCGATTGCGCTCCTCTCGGTTGCTCTCCTCTTGATTGCACTCCTCTCAATTGCGCTCCTCTCTCTCGCTCTGCTCTCTCTTGCGCTACTGTTGATTGCGCTCCTCTCTCCTGCTCTGCTCTCAAGTGAGCTCCTGTCGATTGCTCTCCTGTCTATTGAGCTCCTGTCCATTGAGCTCCTTTCGATTGTGCTCCTGTCGAATGCACTCCTGTCAATTGCGCTCCTCTCTGCTGCTCGTCTCTAGATTGCTCTCCTGTCGATTACGCTCCTCTCTCTCGCTCTGCTCTCTCTTGCGCTACTGTCGATTGTGCTCCTCTCTCCTGCTCTGCTCGTGATTGCGCTCCTCTCGATTGCGCTCCTCTCAATTGCGCTGCTCTCAATTGTGCTGCTCCGACAGAGTGTGCGCTGTCCAGCAGTTCGCTGATGAGATTGCGCTTCTCAGATTGCGTTGCTCCAGCTGTGCGTTGCTCTTGAGCTGTGTGTTGCTCTTGAGCTGTGCGTTGCTCTCGAACAGTGCGTTGCTCTCGAGCTGTGCGCTGCTCAGATTGTGTTGCTCCAGCAGAGTGTGCGTTGCTCCAGCTGTGAGTGCATTGCTGCAGCTGTGAGTGCGTTGCTCCAGCTGTGAGTGCGTTGCTCTCAAACAGTGTGTTGTTCTCGAGCAGTGCATTGCTCTTGAGCTGTGTGTTGCTCTCGAACAGTGCGTTGCTCTCGAGCTGTGCGCTGCTCAGATTGTGTTGCTCCAGCAGAGTGTGCATTGCTCCAGCTGTGAGTGCGTTGCTGCAGCTGTGAGTGCGTTGCTCCAGCTGTGAGTGCGTTGCTCTCAAACAGTGTGTTGTTCTCGAGCAGTGCGTTGCTCTTGAGCTGTGTGTTGCTCTCGAACAGTGCGTTGCTCTCGAGCTGTGCGCTGCTCAGATTGCGTTGCTCCAGCAGAGTGTGCGTTGCTCCAGCTGTGAGTGCGTTGCTCCAGCTGTGCGTTGCTCAATTTGCGCTGCTCCAGCAAAAATAAATTTGTTTGCGTTGCGGCACTTGAGCAGTGTAAATTTCGAGTGCGTTGGGGGTCAACGCAGTCGCGTGAATTTCGATTTTGGCGGAGCGCAATTGTGCGTTGCCCGCAAGCAAGACACACCGGCTAGGGCTAGGGTTGAAGATCAACTAAGGATTGATGATGAGCAAACACCTGGAGGAAACAAGTGGCAATGGTGATGTGTGGTGATGGTGAGAAAAGCAGCAGTGGCAAGAACAAAGGGGTGAGAGCGTAAAGGACAAAGGTGTGAGAGTGTAAGAACAAAGGCTGATGATGTCGACAAAGGTGTGAGAGTGTAAGAACAAAGGTTAATGATGTCGACAAAGGTGTGAGAGCATAAAGGACAAAGGCTGATGATGTTGACAAAGGTGTTGCAAGGCTGATTGGTAGTGAGGTGTGAGCGTGAGAGAGAAATGATGTCAACAAAGGTGCTGTAAGGCTGAGCGGTAGTGAGGTGTGAGTGTGAGAGAGAAATGATGTCGACAAAGGTGTTGTAAGGCAGAGTGGTAGTGAGGTGTGAGCATGAGAGAGAACAACAGCTGATGAAGACAAGTGGTGATTATGTTGTGCGGTGATGATGAGAAGTAGTGGCAGCAAGAACAAAGGCCTAAGAGTGCAAAGGAGGCTCATGATGTCGACAAAGGAGTTGTAAGGCTGAGTAGTTGTGGGGTGTAAGTGCAAGAGTTGTGCTGGAGCTCTGCATTGCTCTCGAGCTGTGCGCTGCTCAGATTGCATTGCTCCAGCAGAGTGTGCATTGCTCCAGCTGTGAGTGCGTTGCTCCAGCTGTGAGTGCGTTGCTCTCGAACAGTGCATTGCTCTTGAGCTGTGTGTTGCTCTTGAACAGTGCATTGCTCTCAAGCAGTGCATTGCTCTTGAGCTGTGTGTTGCTCTCGAACAGTGCGTTGCTCTCGAGCTGTGCGCTGCTCAGATTGCATTGCTCCAGCAGAGTGTGCGTTGCTCCAGCTGTGAGTGCATTGCTCCAGCTGTGAGTGCGTTGCTCCAGCTGTGAGTGCATTGCTCCAGCTGTGCGTTGCTCAATTTGCGCTGCTCCAGCGAAAATAAATTTGTTTGCATTGCAGCACTTGAGCAGTGTAAATTTCGAGTGCATTGGGGGTCAACACAGTCGCGTGAATTTCGAATTTGGCGGAGCGCAATTGTGCATTGCCTGCAAGCAAGACACACCGGCTAGGGCTAGGGTTTGCTGGGGTTCACAGAGGTTGAGGTACATTGAACATAGATGTACTGGGGTTTACCAAGGCTTACCAAAGTTTGCCTAGCTTCATCAAAGTTTACCTAGCTTCACCAACATTTGCCTGGCTTCATCAACATTTACCTAGGTTCATTCATGTTAACCTAGGTTCATTGAAGTTTTCCTAGGTTCATTGAAGTTTACCCCAGTTCATTGAAGTTTACCCAGCTTCATTGAAGTTTACCTAGGTTCACCAAAGTTCAAACCTAGTGACCAAACTTTGATGGCCCATATCTCAGCCACTGCGGAACAGGGTACCGTGAGACTTTGCATACACATAGTCCTAGGGTATCCCTACATATCTCATTAGTACAGATTTCATGTTTCCAAGGGTCTCGCCGGGAACACCCTTGTAACCCTAACCATCATCCACTCTGTCCCTCAAGATGTCAATGCCTACAACATATCCCTCTTCCCTCAAGACCTCCTCAAGCTCTACCACCCAGAGCTGACCCTGCAACTCATCAGCCATGCCCCCACCCCCATCATCAAGGACAACGCCTACTTCAAGGACTGGGTCTACTTTGCCCAAGCTGCCAGCCTCTTCAAGTTCAATCCCTCCCTCAAGCAACCTCTCCTCAAGGCCATGATGGACAGCCACCTCATCATCAAGCCCTCAACCTTCCCCCTGGCCCTCATCAAAGGCAAGCAAACCATCACTGTCGGCCAGCTGATGGACTACCTCAGCCAGATAGGCTGCAACACCATCCGCCTCCAAGTCTATGGCCAGAAGTGGCACCTCCTCACCCTCAAGTCCAACATCGGAAACCTCAACCACCCACTTGCCCACCTCAACACATTTGACCTCGGCACCATGTATGATGATCCACGCATCACACTTGTCCAACCTGTGCAGTACAGTAACCCCAAGATGACACTGTACCCCATGCTTCTTCCCATTGCCATGGGCTATGGCTCAGTCCACATGGATATCGCCCTTGGAAAAGGTGAAATGTACCAGGTCAAGGCATACCCACATCTGGTGCACTGCATCAAGGCAGAGTCAGGCAATCAAGCTCTCTGGGCACCAGACACTGTGAGGCGGGCTAGAGTACAACACACCAACCTCAAGAACCAGTTCAAGGCCATGGAGATCACACCACGCTCCATCATGGGTGGTCTCCACCTCGAGGTCACTGTCACTGCACCCACACTCATGCTGGCCAAGGACATCATCCACAAGACTCCACTCCTCAACCTTGATGCCTACCTGTATGACAGACTGGAGCTGTTGCATCCCTACCAGCTCAGGATGATCACCATCACCAAGGCAGACTACCTGGCCAACCTCAAGCACCTCCTCACCAAGGCAGAGACAGTCAGGGCTTTCATCGGCAGGGATGAGTCAAAGCTGCATGGCAACAAGAAGCAGATCATCCTTGACCTCTTCAATGCCCTGGGATGGAACACCGGACGCCTCAAGACCACTGCCTTCAATGCTGCTGATGCCTGGTGGCTGGATGAAGAGGACCAAGAGCAGCCTGCTGCTGCACTGGTGCAGGAACCAGAGCCTACCCATATCACCCTGAACCACATCAAGGGTGTGCCAGCCATGAAGGCACTCTTCACAGCACTCAGGAAGCAGTTGCAATGCCATGCCTGCCCTGACCCAGGCTACACATACACATGGGATGGTCAAGCCCAACAGTTCCGAATCAAGTGCTCAGTGTGTGGCAGAAAGCTGAACCAGTCCCAGGCCAGGGAGCATATCCTCCAGCTTGTTACCCAGGATGAGTTGATCTTGCCAGAGGAGTTCCTGCCAGCCCCTGCCGAGTCAACTTGGTCTCCCTCCCCAGCTGAGCCAATCACCACAGTGGAGCGTCTGCCCACTCCAGAGGCTCCAGCTGCCACCACCACCATGCAGCTGCATTCCAAGATGGTCCAGGACCCTACAACAGCCATGCAGATGTCTTTGGAGATCCCCTGGGTGCCCATGCTCAACACTATTGTCCCAATGGATGGTATGGTGGAGGTACCACATCTACCAAGGGTCAAGCGGTCCACCACAATCAAGCCAGATGGTAACTGTCTTTTTAGGGCTGTCAGCTACCATGTCTATGGTACTCAGGACCACCACATGGAGGTCAGGAAAGATGCAGTGGAGTGGCTCCATAGCCAACCATACTTGGTGGCCACCTTTGCTGCAGAGGGTAGTGGTCACCTTGGACCTGGTGCCTGGCTGGACCAGATGGCCAAGGAAGGCACCTGGGGAGATGAGCTCGCCCTTCTGGGACTCGCAGAGGCACACCACTGCAGCCTGTGGGTGTACTCTGACCAGCATGACCTCCACACCACCTACCCAGGTGGAGCTGGTGGACCATACCAGGGGCTCATCCACCTGGGTGGCAACCACTATGAGATCCTGAGCTTGTGATCAGACTGACCAGACTGTATGTACATAGCACTCCTCACAAAGCCCAAAGAAACACCCTTGTAAATAGCCAACAACCTCTGCTGGTCATGACTGTCACATGTCACCAAGTAGGGTTAGAGTTGGCCAACACAAATCACCATATCTCAATGACCAGACTTCACTCCTGTCTGAAACTCTGTATCCATCATCTCCTAGCATGTTTCTACAATGTTCATTAAGGTAGCATAAAGATCTGAGGTGGTCCATATCCTACCCCTCCAAGGGGGGACCCTTGCAGCTTTGGCCAAAATTTCAAAAATGCAAAGTTGGCCGCAGCTCCACAACAAGTTGGTCTATCATCATGACAGTCTAGGACACTCTTATTGGTGTATAGAGCAACAACTTTTATTATGGGTGCATGTCAAAAATTTCAATATTTCAATGACCTGACTCGTACCAGGCCCAACTTCACCAAGCTGTATCGGAAAATTTTATTACTCAACTGGAGTAGGGTTGGATAATGAAACATGCATAGTTTGGGTAGTACTACAACTTTGATTAAGCAACCCTACTCGATTTAAAAATGGAACCCCCTTGTAACCCAAGGGTCTCGCCGGGAACACCCTTGTAACCCTAACCCTAAACATTTACCTAGGTTCATTCATGTTAACCTAGGTTCATTGAAGTTTTCCTAGGTTCATTGAAGTTTACCCCAGTTCATTGAAGTTTACCCAGCTTCATTGAAGTTTACCTAGGTTCACCAAAGTTCAAACCTAGTGACCAAACTTTGATGGCCCATATCTCAGCCACCACAGAACAGGGTACCGTGAGACTTTGCAAAAACATAGTCCTAGGGTATCCCTACATATCTCATTAGTACAGATTTCATGTTTCCAAGGGTCTCGCCGGGAACACCCTTGTAACCCTAACCCTAACCCAAATTTGCGCTGCTCCAGCGAAAATAAATTTGTTTGCGTTGCAGCACTTGAGCAGTGTAAATTTCGAGTGCGTTGGGGGTCAACGCAGTCGCGTGAATTTCGAATTTGGCAGAGCGCAATTGTGCATTGCCTGCAAGCAAGACACACCGGCTAGGGCTAGGGCTAGGGCAAGACGCGTCTGCCCCATGGCTGGACACCCTTAGAACCCTAACCCCTTTCTGTCTGTTACAGCTATTCGCTCCAACCACGTGTTTTTTCTGTCTGTTAAAGCTATTCCCTTGACATGTGTCTTTTTTGTCAGTCTTAGAGCTATTTGCTCGACATGTTGAATTTTAGCACATGTTAGACCACAATAATTAAACCATCTGACCACTCCTCTCTGCTGCTCTTCTCTCAATTGTGCTCCTGTCGATTGAGCTCCTGTTGATTGCTCTGCTCTCTGATCATCTTAATTGCACTCCTCTTGATTGGCCTCCTGTCTCTTGCGCTGCTCCAGATTGTGCTGCTCCAGCAGAATGAGCGCTCCTCTTGAATGCTCTTCACTCAATTGCGCTCCTGTCAATTGTGCTCCTCTCGAGTGTTCTGCTCGTGATTGTGCTCCTCTCTCTTGCTCTGTGCTCAATTGCGCTCCTGTCAATAGAGTTCCTGCCGATAGAGCTCCTGTTGATTGCACTTCTCTCTGCTTCTCTTCTCTCAATTGCACTCCTGTCGATTGCTCTCCCATTGCGCTCCTCTCGATTGCACTGCTTCAGCAGAGTGAGCGCTCCTCTCAATTGCGCTCCTCTTGATTGCACTCCTCTCCATTGAGCTCCTCTTGATGAGCTTCTGTCGATTGCTCTGCTCTCGATTGCGCTCCTGTCGATTGCTCTGCTCTCGATTGCCCTCCTCTTGATTGATCTGCTGTCCATTGCGCTCCTGTTGAGTGAGCTCCTCTCTCTTGCTCGGCTCTCGATTACACTCCTCTCAATTGCGCTCCTCTATCTCTTGCGCTCCTGTCAATTGCACTCCCCGTGATTGCGCTCCTGTCGATTGCGCTCCTGTCAATTGTGCTCCTGTCGATTGCACTCCTCTCTGCTGCTCGTCTCTCGATTGCGCTCCTCCAGCATAGTGTTCTGCTCTCGATCGAGCTCCGGTTGATTTCACTCCTCTCTTGCGCTCCTGTTGATTGCTCTCCTCTCTTGCACTCCTGTTGATTGCTCTCCTCTCTCTTGCACTCCTGTCGATTGCGCTCCTCCAGCATAGTGTTCAGTGCTTCGAATTGTGCTCCTATCGATTGCACTCCTGTCGATTGAACTCGTCTTGATTGCACTCCTCTCGATTGCTCTGCTCTCGATTGCACTCCTCTCAATTGCGCTTCTCTCTCTCGCTCTGCTCTCTCTTGCGCTACTGTCGATTGCGCTCCTCTCTCCTGCTCTGCTCTCGATTCTGTGCCTGTTGATTGAGCTCCTGTCGATTGCGCTCCTGTCTCTTGCTCTGCTCTCGATTGGGCTCCTCTCGATTGCACTTCTGTCGATTGTGCTCCTGTCGATTGTGCTCCTGTCGATTGGTCTCCTGTTGATTGAGCTCCTCTCTCCATTGCTCTCCTGTCGATCGAGCTCCTCTTGATTGAGCTCCTGTCGATTGCGCTCCTGTCGATTGCGCTCCTGTCGATTGCGCTCCTGTCGATAGAGCTCCTGTCGATTGCGCTGCTCTTGATTGTGCTGCTCCAGCAGAGTGAGCGGTCCTTTCGATTGCGCTGCTGCAGCAGAGTGAGCGCTCCTCTCGATTGCGCTGCTGCAGCAGAGTGAGCGCTCCTCTCGAATGCTCTGATCTCAGTTGCGCTCCTGTCGATTGCGCTCCTCTTAATTGAGCTCCTGTCAATTGCACTCCTGTCAATTGTGCTCCTCTTAATTGCGCTCGATTTGCGCTCCTGTCAATTGCGCTGCTCTAGCAGAGTGTTTGCTGCTTCGATTGGGCTTCTCCAGCAGAGTGAGCCCTCCTGTCGATTGCGATCCTCTTAATTGCACTCGCTTTGATTGCGCTCCTGTCGATTGCACTCCTGTTGATTGCGCTGCTGCAGCAGAGTGAGCACTCCTGTCAATTGCGCTCCTCACTGCTGCTCATCTCTCGATTGCGCTCCTCTTAATTGTGCTCCTCTCAATTGCGCTCCTCTCTACAGCGCTCCTGTCGATTGTTCTGCTTTCGATTGTGCTACTGTCGATTGCTCTTATCTTGATAGCACTCCTCTTGATTGCGCTCCTCTCTGCTGCTCTTCACTCGATTGCGCTCCTGTCCATTGCGCTCCTCTCCAATGAGCTCCTGTCAATTGCGCTCCTCTTGATTGCGCTCCTGTCGATTGCTCTGCTCTCGATTGCGCTCCTGTCCATTGTGCTGCTATTGATTGAGCTCCGTGCTGTTATCAATTGCGCTCCTCTCTCTTCCTATGCTCTCGAGTGAGCTCCTGTCGATTGCGCTCCTCTCGATTGCGCTGCTGCAGCAGAGTGCTCGCTCCTGTCGCTTGCATTCCTCTTGATTGTGCTCCTGTCGATTGAGCTGCTGTTGATTGCACTTTTGTCGATTGCGCTCCTGTCAATTGCGTTCGTCTTGATTGCGCTCCTGTCGATTGTGCTGCTCCAGCAGAGTGAGCGCTCCTCTCGATTGCGCTGCAGCAGAGTGAGCGCTCCTCTCGATTGCGCTCCTCTCGATTGCGCTGCTCTCAATTGCGCTGCTCTCAATTGTGCTGCTCTCAATTGTGCTGCTCCAACAGAGTGTGCGCTGTCCAGCAGTTCGCTGATGAGATTGCGCTTCTCAGATTGCGTTGCTCCAGCTGTGCATTGCTCTTGAGCTGTGCATTGCTCTCGAACAGTGCGTTGCTCTCGAGCTGTGCGCTGCTCAGATTGCGTTGCTCCAGCAGAGTGTGCGTTGCTCCAGCTGTGAGTGCGTTGCTCCAGCTGTGAGTGCATTGCTCTCAAACAGTGTGTTGTTCTCGAGCAGTGCATTGCTCTTGAGCTGTGTGTTGCTCTCGAACAGTGCGTTGCTCTCGAGCTGTGCGCTGCTCAGATTGCGTTGCTCCAGCAGAGTGTGCATTGCTCCAGCTGTGAGTGCGTTGCTCCAGCTGTGCGTTGCTCAATTTGCGCTGCTCCAGCGAAAATAAATTTGTTTGCATTGCAGCACTTGAGCAGTGTAAATTTCGAGTGCGTTGGGGGTCAACGCAGTCGCGTGAATTTCGAATTTGGCGGAGCGCAATTGTGCATTGCCCGCAAGCAAGACACACCAGCTAGGGCTAGGGTTTGCTGGGGTTCACAGAGGTTGAGGTACATTGAACATAGATGTACTGGGGTTTACCAAGGCTTACCAAAGTTTGCCTAGCTTCATCAAAGTTTACCTAGCTTCACCAACATTTGCCTGGCTTCATCAACATTTACCTAGGTTCATTCATGTTAACCTAGGTTCATTGAAGTTTTCCTAGGTTCATTGAAGTTTACCCCAGTTCATTGAAGTTTACCCAGCTTCATTGAAGTTTACCTAGGTTCACCAAAGTTCAAACCTAGTGACCAAACTTTGATGGCCCATATCTCAGCCACCGCGGAACAGGGTACCGTGAGACTTTGCATACACATAGTCCTAGGGTATCCCTACATATCTCATTAGTACAGATTTCATGTTTCCAAGGGTCTCGCCGGGAACACCCTTGTAACCCTAACTCCTATCGATTGTGCTCCTGTCAATAGACCTCCTCCATCCTGCGCTCCTGTCGATTGCTCTCCTGTCGATTGTGCTCTTGTTGATAGAGCTCCTCTCAGCTGCTCTGCTCTCTCCTGCGCTCCTGTCGATTGTGCTCCTCTCTCTTGCTCTGCTTTTGATTGCGCTGCTCTGAGTTGTGCTTCTGCGACAGAGTGTGCACTGTCAAGCAGTGCACTCCTCTTAATTACGCTGTCCAGCAGTGTGCTGCTAGCTGTGAGGCACGAGGAAAATATCAGTCACGTGTGGTAGATGTTAGATCAAAAAGGGGTTACATAACACAGGTCACATGCCAAAAAGGTTAGATCGAAACAATAATTTCAAAGTATCAGTAATGTGCGCAAAATACTAGATCGAAACAAA